GCAGGCAAATGGATGGAACTAGAAGAAACCATCTTGAGTGAGGTAACCCAGTCACAAAAAGACAAACATGGTATGTACTCACTCATATATGGATTTTAGACATAGAGCAAAGGATTACCAGCCTACAATCCACACGGCCAGAGAAGCTAGGAAACAAGGAGGACTCTAAGAGAGACATGTATGGTCCCCCAGAGAAGGGGAAAGGGACAAGATCTCCTGAGCTAATTGGGAGCATGGGGGAGCGGGAGGGAGCTAGAAGAAAGAGAGGGAAGAACAGGAGGGGAGAGGAGAACATGAGAGAGCAGAAAGATTTAGTCAAGGAAAGAATTGAGGAGAGCAAGAAAAGAGATACCACAATAGAGGGAGCCATTATAAGTTTAAAGAGAATTCTGGCACTAGGGAAATGTCCAGAGATCTACAAGTTTGACCCTAACTAACAATCTAAGCAGTGGTTGAGAGGCTACCTTAAATGCCCTTCTCTAATAATGAGATTGATGACTACCTTATATGCCATCATAGAGACTTCATCCAGTAGCTGATGGAAGCAGAAGCAGACACCCACAGCTAAACACTGAACTGAACTCTGGAATCCAGTTGCAAAGAGGGAGGAGTGATGAGCAAAGGAGCCAGAACCAGACTGGAGAAACCCACAGGGACAGCTGACCTGAACAAGGGGGAGCTCATGGGCTCCAGCATGATGGCTGGGTAACCAGCTTAGGACTGCTCCAGACCCCCTGAACAAGGATGTCAGTTTGGAGGCCTGGGCAATCTATGGGGCCTCTGGTAGTGGATCAGTATTTATCCCTAGTATACAAATGGATTTTGGGAGCCCTCTCCACATGGAGGGATAGTCTCTGCCTAGACACACAGGGAGAGTCTAGACCCTGCTCCAAATGATACGACAGACTTTGATGATTCCCCATGGAAGGCCTTGCCCTTCCTGGCGAACAGAAAGGGGCTGGAGTAGGAGGTGGGGAGCAGGGAAGGAGAGGAAGGAGAGGGAACTGGGATTGACACGGAAAAGAAGCTTGTTTCTAATAAAATAAAATTTAAAAAAAGAAAGTCCACCCAGGAAAATATGAAGATGTACATAAGCACACACACACACATTAAAAAAAAAATTCGTAAGTCACTTCTTGTCGGCAGTTTTAGGAAACACAGAAAATATACAAATCAAAGTATTTCTAAGCCAAGCATGGAGGTGCATGCCTATCATGAATAAGGCAGAATGATAAGGAGTTGAAAGCTAGCCTGAGCTATAAAAGGGGACATCATCTCAAAACAAAAAAAATTTTTTTTTTTTTTTTAGTTGAACACAAGCATATGCTGTATCACGAGGACGCCTGACTTCTGCAGGGGAAAAAAAGGCAGTGACACATTTTCAGTTACCAAGTCAACATGGGAAGAGGAAAGGGAGGCTATGGGACAGGCAGAGTGTAAGGGCGGATGAGGAAACCTCAAACGCTCCAGCCCAGATTATGTGCATTTGCAATTACACCAAAAGTGTGCCCAAGCCAAGAAGCCACCCCAAGCACAGGAGTGAGCTCACCTCACAGGCCACATCCTCCCCACTTTGGTCCTCATTCTATGCCCATACTACAGGTGCCTCCTAAAAAGCACCCAGTAGGCACGCATTCTTTTCTCGTGATGCCCAAATGTGCTGCTTTCCTTGTGATCTTACTACATCTTAAGTCACACATGGAGATCTTGCAGGAATAAGTAGGAAATAGTTTAGTAAGACAGACAGATCAAAGCTTACTTCCTATAGCAAGATGCCTACCAAACAAACAACAGACAAACATTCTGAACTTACCAGGTCTGAAACTCCATTCTGCTCCACTCAAATTTATGATCTGCATCCCTCAGGGTCACTGTGGGAAACAGGGGGTTGAATTCAGCATTTGGTGTGCTGATGACGATCATGGATGGTGACAGGTATCCAAACACCACTTCAGGAAATCTGGCCAGATCATCTGAATTCAAATGTTCTATTCTAAAGTGGTTAATAAGAAAAACAACAGAATTAGTGGATTAATAAAAATACATGGATGCATTTTCCAAAGTGACTTGGCAAAAATAATTCCTGCTTGGATGTCGGTTTCTCCCTTCTTTGATAATGCTACAGTCTACAACCCATGAACAATTCTACTTATTTCAATCCTTCCCACTCCCAGAACTGACAAGGATGATCCATCAACTAAGATCCTCCGTTGCCCTCTATAGAACTCATAGCAATATTCCTTTTTTAAAAAGTATCTAAGCTCATACATTCCATGATTTGATGCCCTCAAAATACAACATTACCTCTATGAGCTCTTTTCAAAAATGGCAGGCAACTGCAGAGATAGTTCAACAATTATGAGAGCACACTGATCTCACAGAGGACCCAAGGTTGGTTTCCAGCACCCATGTTAGGCAACTCACAACCACCTGTAACTCCAGCTCCAGGGTATCTGCTGCCCTCTTCTAGCCTTGAGGGGCACCTGAACTCACATGTGGATATACTTGTGCAAGAATGAGGACCTAAGTTCAGATCCCCTGTACTCAGTAAAAATACCTGGCATAGGAACACAGCTCTGCAAGCCCAATGCTGGCGAGGCAAAGATCAGAAGGTCTCTTGGGCCTGCTGGCCAGCCAGTGTAGCCAACCAGCAAGATGCAGGGTCATTGAGAGACCCATCTCAAAAACACCATGGTCAGGCATGGTGGCACACATTTATTCCCAGCACTTGGGAGTCAGTGGCAAATGGATCTCTGTGAGTTCGAGGCCAGCCTGGTCTACAGAGCAAGTTCCAGGACAGCTACAGCTACAGAGAGAATCCTTGCCCCCCACAAAAAAGAAAAAGAGAGAGAGAGTTGGAAGGAAGGAAGGAAGAAAGGAAGGGAGGGAGGGAGAAAGAAAGAAAGAAAAAGAAAGAAAGAAAGAAAGAAAGAAAGAAAGAAAGAAAGAAAGAAAGAAAGAAAGACTGAGGAAGACACAGGACATCAAACTCCAGTCTCCACCTCCTACACATTTGTGTTCTTGAGTGCATGAACACACACACACACACAGTGTATTCCCTGGGACAGCAGGTAGAGTTGAGCACTATAGCACCCACTTAGCATGCATGAAGCATTTGATCAATACCCTACCCTGCCAAAAAGAAAAGGCATCCCCTAAATCTAGCATTGAAATACTAAAATGAATCCAGATTAAGGGATGATGTTCTAGAGCAAAGAAAGACTGAACAAACCTGTTCCAGACATCAATACTAAAATCGCCAGGTTCGAAGTGGTGGCACAATCCTTTAATCCCAACACTCAGGAGACAGAGGCAGGCAGGTCTCTGTGAGAGCTCCAGGACAGCCAGGGGTACATAGAGAGACCCTGTCTCAAAAAGTAACACAAAATAAAAATAAAAAATAAAACAAAACCCACATTTTAAATGATAACGTTATTTGAAAATAGCTATAAAAGATATCACTAGACCAACTGAGTTGTGAATGTTGGATATAGACTACTATATAACATGACCATGTATATCATTGTGAGTTTTGTTTTGTTTTGCTTTTTAGGTTTTTCAAGACAGGATTTCTCTGTATTGCTTTGGAGGCTGTCCTGGAACTCACTCTGTAGACCAGGCTGACCTTAAACTCATGGAGATTCACCTGCCTCAGCTTCCCAAGTGCTTGCTGGGATTAAAGGTGTGAACCACACCTGACCATTGTGAGATTTCCTAATATAGCATACCATGGCTACAAAAGAGGAAACACATAATCTTATTTTTTAATTTTTGTCCGTGTGTGTGTGTGTGTGTGTGTGTGTGTGTGTGTGTGTGTGTGTTAGAGAGAGAGAGAGAGAGAGAGAGAGAGAGAGAGAGAGGGGGGGGGGGGGGGGGGGGGGGGGGTGT